AGAAATGCTGGCAAGTTTTGACGTACATTCTATGTACGGAAAAGTCTCAGGCGAGAAGGTGATAATAGCAGTGTTGGAGATCTTGGAATGGAAAGAGGAATCGCAAGGAGATCACAGTGGAACTATTAGAAAGCAAAAGGAGACATCTATAGTGAACCCTAGTTAAAACACGTAGAACCAGAACATTTAGAGGTTGGCACACAAGAGACTAGAACATAGGAAGTCATAGAATTGGTAGTATGGATAGAAACAGGATAGATGCGGCGAGACTAGAGCTATTTGGATAACCTTAGAGGTGTCTGATTAATGATATGAAGACCAAGATGTTGTGGCCTCTGGTATGGTCGCAGTCTCCTTTCGATTTACAGAAGTGGGTTGACAGAAGCAAAGACATGAGAAGTACGCAGGGTCATTATACTCAAGTTAGTCTCACAGAGGCAAAATGTTGGAAATAAACCCTCGAGTAGTACAGCTAGTGCGGCACTGGTGAAGTGAAGTACTTGAATCAAGGAGATAGAAGACGGTTAATGGGGCTACAGGGTTAGAGGGAGACTCTGATAAGAGCTATGGTAGGAGGCCTGCGGGAAAATATGGCATACTCTGATCAACATTCCCAGCCCAAGGGTGAAGAAAGGTGAGGGTGTGAAAAAGCCAGCGTGAGGTGTGGAGACTTTTTAAGAAATCCGCCCAAAAGGCCACAACATACGACATTTAATTAAGCAAAGGGAAAGATATGTGATAGTATAGACGTGATACGAGGATATAGGATTGGTGACTAGCCCAGGGCGGAAGAAGAGATACCAAAAATGTTTAGCAGGCAAATGCTGAAATGATCGGCTTCACTAGTCTCTTTGGTGAGTTGTAGTGTGGCGATAAGAATGGCAAAGCTCACTGACGATTCCGACTTCAAAACCCGCGAAACGTCTTTGAATGTACCACGTCGACAGTCCGACTGGAAATTATCGTACATACAGTGGTCTCCGGAATAGGTGCGTTCCAATAGGTCCTTCTACCAATTTGACCAAGTTGCGAATATTAGATAATTGAAAATCCTATTAATCAGTCTTACATGACAAGAAGATACTATCTTTCTGCTTAAGTTAGCTAGCATAATGTATCTTATTATAAGGCATTTGCGAATATGTATGCTACTGCAGTCCCATTCTCAATTAACAGCATAATAAATGCTTTGTTTATCTTATTATGTTTATTTATTTATTTATTTCAAGTTCTGCAAAAGGATGAGCTTAAAATGAATTATAAAAAAGATGAGCTAAGATTGTTACTTTTTGAAATTTGATCATGAATAAACCGAAACTGGGGGATAATTATGTAAAATGGTTAAAGTGCTTAAGCTTATATAAAATATGCATCACCTGAGCAAAATAAATTGATTATAATGAATTACAGTATGCAAAACTAAAAATATTGCCTCACACAGTCAGTTTACCCTCAGTTCTTCGACTAAGATGAATTATCAGCTTGCTCAGGCTTGCTGATTTCTATATATAGCTATAAAACTCTCCCTCTTACCTGGACCTTATTCCTCTCTTCCACGGCCATGTCCTTCACCTCCTCTAGGCGACGTCTGTCGGCATCGATCATCTGTTGAATCTCGGTCATTTTTTGTTTACTTATCCTGCCAACAACTTTACGTCCTCGTCGTTTGCCTCGAGTTCTCTGCTTTCCCGCCTCCGTCGAAGAGTCACCACTTGCACCATCATCTTCGCCACTCTCATCTTCATTATCCACATTGGCTCCATGTAATTCATTTGGTCCACTGACCTCACCTGAATTACATTATATGTATTGCAACATAGTAAAATAATGTTATAAGATCGTAACCTCTTCAAATGATTGTTGGTAGTTGGTCAAAACATTACTTGCAACACAAGACAAATTATGCAACTAATAAAATTCAATTCTTTTTACATTATTTTTTTATGATCGGTCTGCGGTCTACATTCTTTACAGAAGAAGTGCCAAAAATCTCTCAAATATGCTCATTTGTTAACCAAGCTTTATATTCAGAGCTTTTGACATTATGTCAAATTAGTAGTTGAGTCACAAATCGTACACAAAGACATACATAAATTTTAGGTATGAAAATCAAGATAATGTGGCCTTTTGTGTGGTCGCAGTCGCATTTCGTTGTATAGAAGTTATTTGACTTTGTTTTCGTAACTCGGTCCTATTGGTAGGAAGACTTAGAGGAACGGATCTAGTCCGAAGTTCATTGTATGTATCATCATTTCAAGAGTAGGACCGTGGACGTGGTACATTCCCAGACGTTTCGCCGGCATCGTATTCGGCATCGTCAGTGAGTCTCGCCATTCG